TGCTGCTTTCAGCCTTAACTGTTTATTTTAGAAGGAGGGACATAACAGATAGGTATTATTTTTTTTTAAAAAAGGAAAGGGGGCAATAAGAACATCATCAGGGCAACTGGTCTGTCCTCAGATCAGGCCCCTGGGCGTGCCAACTGCCTTCACAGTATTGCATTGTATAACAAGCATACTGCAATTCCAACTTTAATCGAAATGGCAGATGGTAGCAGCTCTCAGACCTCATCCTTGAAGGTCAAAGCCAAATTTCAGCACAAACCTAAGCAGGCTAAAGGGAATTCTAAAACTTCAGAAAGGGATGCCATCAGGTGCCATAAAGCTTTACAAAGACAGATAGATAAGTGCAGACGGGAGGCACACAAGGTCTCAAAGGACTTTCCCTCCTCCAGTCCAGGTCCGTCTACCTCTTCCCACCCTCCTCCTCCCCTAGATCTCTCCCTCTCATCCAGGCGCAGCTTGGCTTCCCAAAGCCAACAGGCCTAAGTACCTGGGACACCGCCCACGCGAAGGGCTCCCGAAGCTACATTCACTCCAATGGCTGCCAGTCTTTGTTAGGACGACATTCTTCCAGAGCGGATGAAGGCCTGGATGGAGCTGGCAATTCGCCAGGGAACCGCAGCAGGTCTTCAACACACAGTTCTGACCAGGGAACATCCTGTGATCGCTGATTATGATTCCCAATCGCTGAGGTCGTTGACCAGGTCGGAGCAACACTATATCCAGGTACATTTACAAGAAGTCCCCCTCCAAGGGCCGACTGAGGAGGAGGAGGAGGAAGAAGTGGATCAAATTGATCAAATGGAAGAGATTGAATCAGGATCAATACATGACAGCGAGCCCCTGTCAGAAGCAGACCCCTTAGAAAGGGGAATGTCTGAGGATGAGGGCCTTGTTCCTGACCAATCTGTTTTTACAGGCTTATTCCGCTCACAACTTTTCAGATCTCTCTTGTTTAAGGCAAAAAACATTGCACGCCTAAACAAGTCGACCCCTTCTACCACTCCAGCTCCTTCAGAACAGGGACCAGAAGATCTCATTTTCAACCAACCAGTAGTCGAGGCAGAGGTGATCCCAGTTCCTCCCATGTTTTTGGACCTGGTACAGAAACAGTGGGTCTTTGCAGCGGTGTACCCAGCTCCCACTGGATATGACAGGAAATATTTCAATTTGGCCCCTGATTTCTCAAAATTGTTGAATATTCCCGAGGTAGATGAACCTATAGTGGGATTAGCGTCCTCCTCCATTCCCAGTGAAGCGCTGGGAATTAAAGCCAGAGGAAAAACGAGCCAAGCTAGCCCTATGCAGAGCCCATCAGTCTGACGTGTGGGCCATCAGAGCAGCCACGGCCGCCTCCTTCTTTACTCGTTCTTCTCTCAGATAGCTCCTCTTATGGGAACATGTCCCTAATTCCAACCTTAGAGCACACCAAGATATTGCTAAACTTATAGCAGCCGCTGAATTCTCAGCTGACGCAACTTATCATGCAGTCAAGTTTTCAGCCAGGGCCATTACTTCACATGTCACAGCGCGACGCTTACTATGGTTAAAACATTGGCAAGCGGACTTTAAGCACAAATGCAAGCTGGCTTCATCTCCAATTGTGGCAGACAGACTGTTTGGCCCTTCCCTTGATCCACTACTAATTGAAACCCGAAACAAAAAGAAAATTCTTCCTTCCCTTTTTCGGAAGTCAGATTCTAGAAACCCTCAGTCCTTTCGGAGGGGATCCTTTCAGCCCTTTTACCAGGGACCCTTTTCACCCAGATACCAGAGACTCCCATCATTCAGACCAGGGCAGCAGCCAGACAGGTCCGACTTCGGGGATAGGAGCAGACAGGGTGGTCAATCCAAGAGATCCTTTCGGGGAGCAGGAAACAGGTCCTTTCTGCGTCCAAGATAACTCCCTGGACCCGACCCCCATTGGCGGACGCTTTAAATTATTCGCGGACCAATCGCGGACCTCAACCTCTGATGCCTGAGTCAGAGACACGATCAGATTTGGCCTTGCACTGGAGTTTCAATCCACTCCCGCCAGATTTTTTCATGTCATGCCCTCTCTCCTGAGATCCAGTTAAACGTAATCTCATGGAAACAGCTATCCAACACCTACTGGACATACGAGCCATCCAACCAGTAGCCACCAAGCAACGAGGGCGAGGTTTCTATTCACATCTTTTTGTTGTTCCCAAAAGTTCGGGGGATAGAGAGCAATATTGGATCTGAAACGTCTCAACCGTTTCTTAGTATATCGCAAGTTTAAAATGCACACCCTGCAATCTATCTTACTTTGCATCAGAAAGGGTGACGTCCTCACGTCCATAGACCTGACGGAGGCGTACCTACATATTGCTATTCGGCCTCCCCACTATAAATTTCTGAGATTCTGTTATAATAACCACCATTTCGAATATGTGGCCCTTCCTTTCGGCTTAGCTTCTGCCCCCAGGACCTTCACGCAGCGCTAGCTGCTCATCTCCGTGATATCCCCGTACGACTCCAGTGTTATCTTGACGACATCTTGATTTTGTCATCTTCCGCTCATCAAGCAGTCAGAGATACTCAGAACACATTACAATCCCTACAACAGCACGGGTTCTCAATAAATTGGAAAAAGAGTCATTTAACACCATCGACTCGGTTAACCCATCTGGGGGCAGTCATAGATACGGTGGAAGGCAAAGTTTACCTGTCACCAGATAGACTAAATAGCATTCAGCAATAAGTTAAGGAGATCAGGGGTCTTAAGAGGGTGTCCCTAGCGGAACTATCAAAATTGTTGGGCAAGATGATTTCTATTATCCCTTGGGCCCGGCTCCACACTAGATCCCTCCAATGGTTCATGCTCCCGTACCAGCGCTTTGGCCGAAGCAACTCCAAATACAAGGTCAAGGTACCATCAAAGGTCCTCATATCTCTCCTCTGGTGGACCAGACCAGTCATCAACAGAGGCTGCCTCTTCAAAGAGCCACACAGACTTACCATCACCACCGATGCCAGCCTGTTTGGATGAGGAGCGCATGTTCAATCGCTCACAACCCAAGGCCGCTAGTCCATCATAGAACAGTCATGCAGCATAAACTGGCTGGAGCTTCGAGCAGTACACCTGGCTCTCCGCAGCTTCCTTCCACAGGTACGCAATCAGCACGTACTAATATTGACCGACAACGTAACAGCCAAAGCTCACATAAACAAA